AAATCTTTTTTTTATGTACTGACAATAAGTAAAAGTTTAGTAGCTTAAGTTTTTCTTTTAGAAAATTGGATCTTTTTACTTCTGATGAACATGTTAATACAACAGAAGTAAAAAGATGGAAGACAGGGATCTTTAAAGGTTGTTAAGAAAGTGTTTAACCCATTAGCATTAAATTTACAACCAAGGAACCAGAAGTATGTCAGCGTCAACAAAGTGATTTTACTAAGCTTAGTGTATAACCTAGAGAAAACCATCACAATCTGAAAAACCTTTTCAAACTCCTTCAACTCAACCAATTGAAATTTTCTTGGTCTTAAACCAATTGAAAATTACATTTTACCTCAAACTCATCAGCATCATCTTTGAAATATTTTTAGAAACCTTAATTCCTTATCTTTTATTAATATACAATATAAATTTTAATAAGGCTACACCTATTGGTTTTTGTAAAATATAAAGTGACAGTAAAAAACACATGTGTTGCTAATGCGATGGACCATTGGACGAGAAAGCAGTTCAAAAGACGTTCGGATCACTAGAGGATATGTTCGGAAGGACAAGAAGAAGACAGGTTTGCCTTATCACCAAGTCCCTTGTTTTTTCAAGATATTTATTAAAAATGTGAGAAAAAAGCAAAACGTTTCAAAGAAGTTTATACAAAATGCAAAATAATTTAATAGAGTCTTTCGAAGTTATTTTTAATGTTTAAAAAGTATTTTTAATTATTAAAAAAATCTCAATAACTTGAAGGTTAACTACGGTAATGCAATTCTATTTATATTCAAATTTCAAAGTTATTCATTGAAAGAAAATTTAATCATTCATTCAAGAAAACAAAAATCAACAGCAGCAACAACAACAACAACAAAACAAAAACAAACAAAAATAAAGAAAACATGAAAAAATGAAAACATAAAAGTTAGTTTACAATTAAAAGATATATTTACACATACACATACACATGTATGTATATATGCATACATATACACACTTGCGCACGCATGCATATACACATACACTCATTCGTACATAAATGCTGTAAATCCATAATTACTTTTTCATAATATAATTGACCGTAATGTATATATAATTAAAGACTTTAGTCCTTTCCAGACAAATAAAGTATGCACTAATAGATAATTTTCAAATATAATAATTTTAAAGATAAATTTTAAAATAATTTTCTGTTTGATTGTTATTTAAAAGCAATAGTTTTAGCTTTTGTTTAAACTGTTCAAGAGTTGTAAGTGTTTTAATATCATTACTAATTAACTTATTCCATACATTAGGTCCTCTAATAGTTATTGATAACTTAATGGACTCATATATAGTTTTGGGTTGAAAAAAAGTTGTTATTTGAATATTTAGTCATGTATTTGTGTTGAATTTTATTAAATAATGGTTTGAAGATATTTGGTATTGCATTATTATTAGTTTTATACATAAAAATTAGCAGATGATATATATTTAATTGGTACAAATTTAATATATCTAGATTGTTGAACAATGGTCTAAAATGTGAGAGGCGGTGTGCATTTGATAATAATCTGATTGCATGTTTTTGTTTGCTGAATAAATGAGTAATATATGTATTTCAAACATGATTGATCTAAGTATGGTTTTGCTTTATAGAGTAATCTGATATCTTTAGAAATTTTATTTTTAATCATGTTTATGTGGTCTTTCCAATTTATGTTTTCATCTAGTATTACACCTAGAAATTTCATTGAACATTCTCTTTTTACGTTGTATTCTCCAATAATAAGTTTTGGAAATGCAATAGGGATTTTATGGAGGCGATGAACGATAGTATATTTGATTTTAGTTAAATCAGTTGAAAGTTTATTCATATTTAACCCTTTAGTTAGTTTAAGAAGTTAAATAGCTACGCTAACAACAGCTGCGCTAAGCTAAAGAAAATTTATACTAAACAAAAACATGCATGTAGAATTGTATTTGGAGTAAAAAGAACTGTGCCTTGTGAGCCACGTCTACGTAAACTCAATGAATTAAATGTGTTTAAAATTAACATATTCCTCGTCATACAGTTCATGTATCAAATAAAACATGGACTGTCTCCAGCAATATTCTATCCTTATTTTAGAGAAGTAAGCCATAAATACCCCACCAAGTTCTCTGGAAATAACTTTGTAACTCAAAAGTATAATCTAAAGTTATGTTCTTATTCTATCCAGTACCGGGGTCCAATTTTGTGGAAAAACTTTCAGCATATTGTTAATATTAAAAAAAAACATTTCCGCAATTCAAATCTAAATTAAGACGTTATTTAGTACTTACGGATTTTAATATAGCAGATCTTCTATGTCACTTTTAAAATTTTAAAATTTATTAAACTAAATTAGCACTATAAATTTAAAAATCTAGACCATTTAATAATATTAAGAATTTCAATGTCTTTATCATACTTTCATTAAAATATATATTTTCTTAAAGTTACCTACAATTTTCTTGATATATTTTACGATATTGGAACAGAGGTTTTATTTAAATTTTGAGTTATTTTGAAAGAAAATAATATAAAAAATATATATATCGAATCACATCCAGTTTATAACCAAAAACAGAAAACTTTTGTCATTTTTATTACTATATTTTAATCATTTCTTTTTTTTTTTTTTTCAATTATTTTAATACTTTTTTTTTTTTTTTTTTTAATTTTATTTCTTAATATTTTAAAATTGTCTTTTTTTAAATGCTGTTGCTTATATATTACGCATTATTATATAATACGTATATTTATTTATTTATGGATATTTATTGCGTTACTATTGGGGCTCGGTGATAAGGCCATTTTATGCCTTCTTCTTGCTCCAGCCAATTGTTCTTTTTATATTGTTGTACTTCATTTCTAAAGGCGAAATAAACTAATAAACTAAAAAAAAAAAAAAAAAAATTTACCATTTTAAATAATGTTGTTATATCACTATGAGAATAAAATAAATTTGTGTCATCAGCAAATAATATAGAATCTAGAATATTAGAAGCTTTGCTTAAATCATTAATATAGATTAAAAATAAAAGTGGTCCTAATATAGATTATTGAGAAACGCCGCAAGTAATTGTCATATTATTAGTTTTTTTATTGCTAAATGAAATATATTGTTTTCTATTAGATAAGTAGCTTTTGAACCAAGCTATGTTTATATTTTTGATTCCATAGCTAATTTTTTCATTAAAATACCATGATCAATAGTGTCGAATGCCTTACTAAGATCTATGAAAACACCTAAAGTTAATTTGTTTTTGTCAAAACCTTGAAAAATAATCTGAATGAGATGAAGAATGGCATGATCAGTAGAGTGCCCTGTTTGAAGCCAAGTTGTTTATTGTAAAGAATATTATTTTTTTTTAAATATGAGTATAATTTGTTATACTTAACGCGTTTTAGTATTTTCGAGAAGCAAGGAAGTATGGAAATAGGTCTATAGTTCGAGATATTTGTATCATCTCCAGATTTAAAAACTGGTATTACCCTTGCAATTTTAAGTTTTTTTGGAAAGATTTCTTGTTTAAACGAAAGATTAAATATATGCAAAAGAACTTTTTTAATATAGAAAATACATTTAGTTACAACATTACTACTAACATTATTAAGTCCTAGTGCTTTGTTTAACCTTAATGAATGCACAGCATCTAATTATTCCCTTTCTGTTAAGTCAGCATTTTCCATTATTGATTTGCTAGGAGTCAAATATTTCTCCTTGTTAAACTCACTGTGTTTGAATTTGATGCTAAATTTAAACCTGCATTGATAAACACCTCATTAAATGTTTTAGCAATTATAGACTCATTTGTAATATCTTGATGATGATAATTTAGTTTTTTTGGAAGACCATTTAGCTTAAGTTCTTTTTTTCCAATTACTTCTTTATGACTTGCCACGTTTTTTGAGTATCGCCTTTAAATTTTATTTTTTTATTTGAATAGTATAATTTCTTTGAAAGTTTTATAATTAATTCAAAGTGACTATTACATTTTTTATATCTTAATTCATTTTTATAAGTTCTTTTTTTCAAAAACATTTCATACAATCGTTTTTTTTTTGATGATTTTATTATTTCTGGTGTAATCCAAGGGTTTATAAATGTTTTAGTTTTAATAATTTTTGTTACCACTGGGAAAGCATTATCCCAGCAAACAAAAAGATATCTAAAATGCATCTAATATGCATCTAAAAACTGGTCTAAAAGATGTCTAAACTCAGGTCTAGAACGGGACATAAATAGACGTCTATCTTATAGACGCTTTTTAGATGCATTTTACTCGACACAAATAATTGCCTTAGATGCATAAAAGATGTGATATATACATCTTACAGATGCATATTAGATGTATAAAATACGTCTCTTAAATAGATGTCTAAGGCGCGTTTAAAAAAGATAGATAATAGATAATTTTTTTAGCTAATACCCAGCAAACAAAAAGATATCTAAAATGCATCTAATATGCATCTAAAAACTGGTCTAAAAGACGTCTAAATTCAGGTCTAGAACGGGACATAAATAGACGTCTATCTTATAGACGTCTTTTAGATGCATTTTATTCGACACAAACAATTGCCTTAGATGCATAAAAGATGTGAAATAATCATCTTACAGATACATATTAGATGTATAAAATACGTCTCTTAAATAGATGTCTAAGGCGCGTTTAAAAAAGATAGATAATAGATAATTTTTCAGCTAATAATAGCTCTTTTATGCATCTAATATACATCTTTAAATGTATATTTCACATCTTTTATGCATCTAAGGCATTTATTTGTGTCGAATAAAATGCATCTAAAAGACATCTATAAGATAGACATCTATTTATGTCCCGTTCACGACGTGAATTTAGACGTCTTTTAGACCAGTTTTTAGATGCATATTAGATGCATTTAAGATATCTTTTTGTTTGCCGGGACTTGTTTGATACAAAGGTGTTACAGCGGTTAAATTAGTCATAAAAAAGGATTAAATTAAATAAGTAAAGAAACATTTTAACTAACATTACTTAATTTTTGTTTCACAAAAATATACATAAGAAACTATATTTCTGCATTGCCGTCAACATTTTCTTCCACGTCGCCGATATCTAAAATATATACATTAATGACATTTAAATAACTTTAAAAGACATGTAGAACTCTGAATCTATTTTTATAAAATATTATATATATATATATATATATATATATATATATATATATATATATATATATATATATATATATATATATATATATATATATATATATATATATATATATATAAACATACAGTATCGGACAAAACCAGTGCAACCAAATGATGCTAATTTAGTTTCTTTGTATAAAAGGGTTGCATTTTTTCAATTTAGAGAAATAACTATGTAACTGTTTAGAGACAACGCTCTTCAAATTTTATTCATCACAAAGTTCATTATTTGTACACGAAAATTAATAAATTAATCAAAAGAATTAAAAAAAGTTGATTTCCTTCTGGACAAAACAAGTGCAACTCTACAAAATGTTGACCAAGTTGTATTTTGCTATCAATATTTTGTGCTGAATCCTTTGTTGTCGATCACAGCCTTGCATCTTTAAGGGATAGATTCGATCAGGTGATCAATGAAACTTTGTGGAATCGTTACCTAGGCCTTTTGGATTTGTTCAAACAGTTGATCCTTATTACGGACACATTCATGATTAACTCTGCGGTTAACGATCTCCCACAGGTTCTCGATAGGGTTGAGATCCGGAGATTGAGGCGGCCAATCCATCACCAATAGATGGTTGTCTTGAAACCACTGCTTGACTACTTTTGCAGTGTGTTTGGGATCGTTGTCTTGATCGTTGTCAATAAAAATCTATTTTATTGGTATATTAAAAAACTTCTGTGACGTTGACAAGGACCAGACTTGAGAAAATGAAATAAACCAAAAAAGTTGCACTTGTTTTGTATGCTGCAAAATGGCACTTGTCAACAAAATTCTGCCTGTGTGCTGTCACCTGTCAGCTGATTGCTCATATCATGGCATGCTATGACTCCAGACTCCTGAACTGTTTGCTGTGGTAGTATAGTTCGTTTCATTTTTAAGACATATAAAATTAGAAACACTTTTTAGCATTGTTCGATGTTGGTTGCAAATGTTTTGTCCATTACTGTATATACACATATATATATATATAAATATATATATATATATAATATATATATATATATATATATATATATATATATATATATATATATATATATACATGTATATATATATATATATATATATATATATACACACATGTGTATATATATATATATATATATATATATATAATATATATACATGTGTATATATATATATATATATACATGTGTATATATATATATATATATATACATGTATATATATATATATACATGTGTATATATATATATATATATATATATATATATATATATATATATATATATATATATATATATATATATATATATACAAGAAGATTTGTATCTCAACCAGATACAATAATAAACAACAATTTTTTTATGAAAAAACTAAAGGAACTTGTATTATGGATACAAAAATTCTAGCATGACACAAAAAAAGTCGAAGAATATCTTTTTAATACAGATATCAGTTTTGTAAATACTATTAAAACTATACCTCGTAAAACACTTTATATATTTACTATATTTTCTAAGCTTGTCTTTTCCTCATTTCCTTTTCGATTAAATTTGGACTGTAACTGATTCGAAAATAACCTGATAAATATTTTAAAAAATAAGTTGAAATATATTTATAAAGATTTTTATTTTAATATATGTAATAAACTAAAATATATTTTAATATATGAATGCTTAAAATTATGAAAAGTAAAAACATTAAATTTAAAAATAAAATGCTAAACAAGGTTTAGCAATACACTTACTTTAGCACACAAACAAACTTAAACACCTACAGTGAAGCTACCGAGTTTATCAAATTGTCATGTTAAAAGTAAATCCATAACAAATAACGGTCAAAATGAATTGCTTTTGGTCCCTTTTAATCATATTTCTAATAATTAATAAAAACATAATCATTTACCTTTTCATGATCAAAAAAACATGTTCTCTAGGCTTTCCACCACCAATCTTTTTCAAACTATCAAGCTGAAATAAATGTAATAAAAACTAGTGTAACTTAAATTTCTTTACAACATATTGAGTCTAACACAAGCTAGTTATTTTAGTTCATTTACAAATACTTTTCATTTAGATTCTAAACTAGTAAACCAAATTTAAACAAACTTATTAAAAATTAAGATAATTAGATTATATCAAATTAGTATACTCGGTTTTATCTTTTAGTTTATTATCCAGTGTAACCACTTCATCTACTGGTTCTAGCAACTTCACCCCAGTAGCCTGAAACTTAATTTCTATAACTTCTTTTAAAAGAACTTTTATTCCTGCAAGCTCGTTGAGAATAACATTTTGCATCTCTACAAACAAGAATAAAAAGATTGATTAACAT